CGTCGGGCCACCGTCGCCACCGCACCTCAACTACAAAATCCCGTCGATCCTCCATCGTCTCCGCGCCTTCGTCAGTCGTCTCGATTCGACTCCGACGACATTCCATTCGCGGCCAACCACGACACAACAGACAACTATTTGCCGTCACCGCCGAACTCCGGCGACTTCCATTCACGACCAACACGAACAAGAAGCTCCCGGTGCAATTGGGGCAGACGGTCGGCGAGATTCTCTCTGATTGCGTCTAATCAGCCGGAGAACCGCATCAGGAAAAGATGGATCCCTTCCCCGATCACCTGCAAACTTATAATGGAATTGGGCCTTTTTTTTAAAAAAAAAATAGAAATTGTTCAAGGACCTTAATGCAATTTTATAAATTTTAAATATATTTCAATTTAGTACACATGCCAAATCTGTAATTAATGGAAGTTATTAAAAAATGTTATTTATTATATTTTTTATACATACATATTGAATAATAAATAAAATATTAAATAAAAATAATATAAACTTAAAATAATGAAATAATAAAATAAAATAATAGATAAAAAATTGAATAAATAAATAAATAAATAATATATAGTATTGCACTTTATATATCAACACTTTATATAACAGTAAATTGCACTGTATAAAACAACATGTTGCACTTTACAACATAAAGCGTTGCACTTTATCAACACACTCCACGATTAACGTCAATAGCTTCCGCGAAAATACCACAACGTACATATAAAAACGGATATACATAATACTTTAACATTAACCACATTATTTATCCACACAAAAAACAAACATGCTAGCATACCAAAATTACATCAGTTCACTTTATACATCAACATGTTGCACTTTATAAGATATTAAGTTGCACTTTACAAAACATCACACTGCACTTTATCGTGACTATCAGAGATCGAAATTGACCGAAACTAAATTTTTTCAACCAGAAATTATATAAAAATAATAAATAATATTCCTAACGTTTTAAACAATATTTTCTTATAGCATAAAGTATAATTTAATGCATATATTTTCTGTTAATTCGGCTAATCGCCGGAATAAATCAAGTATTTCTATTCAATTTAACTTTTACAAAAGTTCAACACGTCGCACTTTATAAAGTAACAATTTGCACTTTACAAGACATCACACTGCACTTTATCATTTCATAATTATTTTAAAAAAAATAAACAAAATGACCACACATGCCGAACTATACGAAAAAAATATTACAAATTATTTATTTATTTATTATTATATTAATACTATTTTGAATATATAGTTTTATGTGTTGCGAGTGCACATTAAAGTTATACGGATTGCACATATTTGTCTAGCACATTGCACAAAAAACGAACAATATCAAACGCACAAAAATTCGATACAATTTTTTATATTTTGTTTTCTATTATTATTATTATTATTATTATTATTATTATTATTATTATATATCGGGTATTTTGATACGATATCATGTTTTTTTTAGATTTTGGAATTACTTAAACACTATCTCTCTATTTATTAAATTATTAATAATTTAGGATAAACATTTATATTGCTAATTAATTTATATCATAATTAGAGTTTTACAAAAATTAAAAACTAGTTCCTAGCATTAACCTAATTTCTACTAAACTAACCCCTAAATCAATCCACACACAAATCAACCAAAATTGCATTTCACCTAAATAATTCAACCTGCAAATTCACCAAAATCATTCAAGTCTTATTCACCCAATCCAAAATTCACCACAATCACCTGCCAATTCACCAAAATCATTCACAGAACTCGAGCCTAATTCACCCAAATCAAGATTCACCACAAATCACCTGCCAATTCACAAAATCATTCACAAGTTCATTCAATCCTAATTCACCCAAATCAAAATTCACCATAAATCAAAATGCATTTCCGGCCGCCGCCTCCATCTCCTGTTCATATCTCCGGCGATCTCAGTCTGCAACTCGCCGGAAGCCCTCGCCGTCAGTACAATTGGGGTGCTCGACGGATAGGCTGATTGAGTTTGAGACAGGGGCAAGGGACGATGTGGCGGTGCTGGGATGGCTGACGACTCTCGACTGGATGTTAGCGGCGGCGGCGGCGACGGCGACCGTTTGGGCGGCGACGGGATACATTTTGCTGATGCCAGTGACCGGTGGTTTATGGTGGTTGATTTTGGCGTGTCTAGGAGGAGAGGAGGGGGAGGGCGCTGCTGGGTATGGCTGCCTGCGCTCGACGGGACGGTAGCGGCAGCGACGGCGGCAGTCCGGTGGCGGCGGCGGTGACAGGTGGTTTGGGGCTAAGACCGTCGCACGCTGGAGTGTGTGAGTGTGTGTGAAATTGTGTGTACGAGAGAGAGAGAGAGGTGAATATAAAGAAAAGGTGTGGGTCCATGTGGTATATGTGTAATGACCAACATACCCTTAATTATTGGTAAATACACATATTTGATCACATTATGATTAAATAATTACCAACTTGCCATTAATGATTGACCATAGTTTGATTTCATCATCACCATTGATGTTGTTGATCCCATGGTCCAAGTTTATTCTTATTTCTTTCATTATGATTCATTCTCATATGATCCCTTCTCTCTCTCTCTCTCTCTCTCTCTCTCTCTATA